TCTATTTTTAACTTTTTGAGAAACCTTAATCCTGTTTTCCAGAGTAGCTGCACCAGTTAGCATTCCCACTAACAGTGTAAGAGGGTTACCTTTTCTCCACATCCTTGCCAACATCTGTTGTTTCCTGTGTTGTTAATTTTAGCCATTCTGACTGGTATGGGTGATATCTCACTGTAGTTTTGATTTGTATTTCCATGATGATGAGTGATGTTGAACATCTTTTCATATGTCTGTTAGCCATCTGTAAAAACTCATTTTGTATTAGTGCAAAAGCACCACATTTGGATCAGAAGATATGGACAAACAAAGAGATCCCCATGGGATACGAAAAGTTTTCTTAGGATTCAGAAAACAACAACCATACAAAAATTTGATAAATTAGACTTCATAAATTTTTTTAATTGCTAGAGACAAATCTCTAGTACAGAAGAATTCCAAATAATTTATTTAGGTTCTCCACCCTCAAGGAAAGGAAGCATAACTCCCCACTCCTTAAGTGTGGGCTGTGTGTGCATAGACTTCTTTCCAAAGAGTGTGGAATGGAAAGAGAGAACAAAGAGTAACTTTATAGTAGTACAGAATGGCAGCTTTATTTATAATTGCCCCAAAATGGAAATAGTTCAGGCACCCATTGACAGAAGAATGGATAAACAGACTGAGGTCCACTTAAACTAGATAGTGATAACAATGAATGAACCACAGATACATACAACAGTATAGATGGATCTCAAAAACATTATGCTATATGAAAAAGCCAGACACAAAGAATTTATACAGTATGATTCCATTTATATGAAAGTCTAGGACAGGAAAAACTAATATATAGGGTGAAAAGTTGCCTGGGCGGTGGCTTAGGGCAAGTATTGATAGGGATGAAGCATGAAGGAACTTTTTGCGTAATGGTAATGTTCTATGTTTTGATAGAGGTTTAGATTATGTACATGTATGTGTTTGTCAAAACCCATAATATGGCACACTTATAATTTGTGCATTAACTGTATGTAAACTTTACCTAAAAAAATAAGACTGTAAACAAATATTAACTCTACCTAATGATATGCATGCTGAAGTATTTTTGGGCAAGGTATATTGCTGTCTGCTACTTTGAAGTGCCTAAAAACAAGATGGATTGATGGATAGATGTGATAAAGAGACCATAGTAAAATATCATTGTATTCATCTTTTATCTTGTCTACACCCTTGATGGGGTTAGCCATTGAGTAAAGACTGACAAAATTGAGTTCTGTCATAGAGCCAACAAAAGGCTATGGAAGAATAGAGAAAGGGGTTATTAATTGTGCCTGGTGAAGGCTTTACTGAGAAGATGATATTTGATGTGGGCTTAAAAGATGAATATGTATGTTCACCTCCTGCGAAGTTACTGGCATCCAGAGTGAGGAGCAAAAGTTTAGAGTATTAGAGTATCTCAAAAATATTCAGGGAGGGAGAAGGAGAGATAGGGAGAAAAAGAGATTGCATTGTGGGGTGGAGGCTGAAGGTGAGAAGAAAATATATGGGAGGACTGAAATTTTAAGAAGCAAGTGGCTGATGCTAATAAGAAAGCAAAGGCTTAAACTTGAATCTCTGTGTTTTGTTTGTTTGTTTGTTTGTTTACTTTTTTAAGGTATAGCCTCACTCTCATGTGTGCCCTTGAGACTCTTTTCTAGAAAAATTCTGCTGTAGTTTGCTCTTCCTGGACAACCCAAACAGATGAGAACCATTCAAATCCAATTCCTCCTTTTATTCAGTTACCTATGGGTCACCCCTTATGAGGTTTTGACCCATTTGGTTAGCCCTAATGGCTCCTACCAAGGCTTCTCCCAATCTGATAGACTCCAAAATCAAATCAACCACTTTATATTACCAGCAGCCTTCTCTGCCATGCCAAGGTGTCTGAACTTTATCTTGTAGACCAACATTTGCAAGATTGTATTTAGAGAAGCCCTAAATGTTCCATGAGATGGTAATAGGTATTATTTGAAACAAGTGTTCCATTGTTTGGGAATGTTAGATACTCCCTCTTGGATAGTCACAATGCCCATTAGTGTAGTGAAGATTCTGAAAATATTTCAGTAAATACATCTAACTCTGTTTAATCTAGCATCTCCCACAGTTATTTAACCACCTAATAATTTTTTCTGTGCAATATTAATTAACTTTGATGGGACATTAATGGTACCCAGAACATAATTCAGGATATGCTGGGAGAAGCACTGTATGAACAAAAAAGGCTTTTAAGCAGAGGACTAACAAGTCAGTGTTACACATTAGTAAGAGCACTCTGGCACCAGTGTGATGAATGGATTGATTAGAGAGGACTTTAGTAGAAGGAATGGAATTGTCTAGGAATGTTGGTGAGGGCTTTGACTAGGTTGTGACAGTGGAGAAGAGAAGAGAGCATGTTGGATTAATATTAAGGTGGTAAAATTAATAGGACTTGGCAATAAAATGTGAGAATAGGAAGGGGAAGGTGTTTCACCTGCCATTGGGTATGGTGATGTTAAAATGTTTGTTAAAGACTGTTAAGTTGGATATATTGGTTTTGAGGGAAATAACTTATGAGTGAAACTGGGTTAGAAATAGATATTTCAGACTGAAGAGAATTGGTTGGGACCCCACCAAAACTGAATATTTAAGGATTAAGGAAAGGAAAAAAAGCCTGATCTAAAATTTCCCTTTTTTCACTTTATTGGTATATAACTGACATTGTGTAAGTTTAAGGTGTACAACATTTGATACACATATATATTGCAACATGATAACAATAAGGTTAGTTAACACATCCATCACCTCACATAATCATAATTTTTTTTTTGGTGAGAACATTTAAGATCTACTTTCTTAACAATTTCCCAGTATATAATACATTATTATTAATTATAATCACCATGCAGTACATTAGGTTCCCAGAACTTATTCATCTTATAACTGGAAGTTTGTATTCATTCACCACTATCTCCCCATTTTCCCCATTCTTCAGCCCCTGGAAATCACCATTCAATACACTGTTTTTATGAGTTTGGCTTTTTTTCCCCTACATATAAGTGAGATCATACTGCTTTTGTCTTTTTCTGTTTGACTTACTCCACTTAGTATAATGCTTTCAGGGTCCATGCATGTTGTTGCAAATGGCAGGATTTCCTTCTTTTTTTGATGAATAATATTCCATTATATTCCACATCTTATTTATCCATTCATCTCTCAATGGACACTTAGGCTGTTTCCATGTCTTGATTATTGTAAATAATGATGCATCATTATTTACAATATGTGGGTGCAGATATCTCTTCAAGATAATTATTTCACTTCCTATGTATACCCAGATGTAGGATTCCTGAATCACAAGATAGCTCTACTTTTAATTTTTTGAGGACCCTCCATACAATTTTCCACAGTGGCTGCACCAATTTACATTCCCATCAATAGTGCAAGAAGATTCATTTTTCTCCAAATCCTTGCCAACACTTATCTTTTCTCTTTTTGATAGTAGTCATTCTAACAGGTATGAAGTAATATCTCATTGTGGTTTTTATTTGCATTTCCTTGATGATTAGTGATGTTGAGCATCTTTTTATGTACCTGTTGGACATTTGGATGTCTCTTCTTTGTAAAAATGTCTATTTAAGTCCGTTGCCCACTTTAAAATCATATTATTTGATTTTTTGATATTAAGTTGTATGGGTTTCTAAATGGTCTTTTAACTTTTGTTCCTTTGATATGTTTTTTTTAGTATAGTCGATACTATAATAGAATACTATAATACTATGTTAGTTTCAGATGTGTACCTTTGCTGTGTTTTTAAGTGTGTCTTTTGTTGGTTGCCTTGTGAAGGAAAAGACATCTGTATTTTTATTTACTCTTTCAAAATTCTCAGAATACAGCTTAAAAAAACATTTAAACAGAACTTAGTAAGACTTTAAAATATAAAGTGGATTCCCCAGAGTATACTCTTAGGATGGTAGCAAATACCTTGGGATTATCGTGTTAGAGGACCAACATGAGGACAAGGTGACCTATGTGAAATGCCTCTGCCAAATGAAAAGTAATCCTGAGTAAGTTGCTTTTGATCTATCTGAAAGGCATGCTTGTTAGCTTATTGGTGTGGAGATAAGGTAAGCCTTTATATTTGGAGATAGCCGATTACCACACAAAAACCTGTACATGAACGTTTACAGCAGTGTTATCCATAGTAGGCAAAAAGTGGAAACAACCCAAAACTCCATCAACTGGTGAATGAATAAAAACTGTTGTGTATATGTGCGATGAAATATTATTCAGCTCTAAATAGAGTGAAGTACTGATACATGCTACAACATGGGAGAATCTTAGAAACATGCTAAGAGAAAGAAACCAGTCCTAAAAACCTACATAGTCTATTATTCTCTTTATATGAAACGTCCAGAAATAGCAAATTGGTAGAGATGGAAAGTAGATTAGTGGTTGCCAGGGGCTGGGGGAGATAGGGGAATGGGGAGTGCCTGCTAATGTGTACCGGGTTTCTTATTTGGGGTGCTGAAAAAATGTTCTAAAATTAGTGGTAGTGGTTGCACAACTCTGTGAATATACTAAATACCACTGAATTTTACACTTTAAACAGGTTAAATTTATGGTATGCAAAAATTCCCAATGAGAAAATGCTTTATGACGAAATAACAACAACAACAACAAGAGAGGTGGCTACTCAGCTTGTTTGGCTTTCATTTCAGTCCTTCAGGACCTGGGGGGTTGGGTTCAGGGAGGAAAGCCAGTACGGGGAGAAGTAGGAAGATTGCCTGTGCCTGTGGCTGGACCTGAGGGGCCTCAGGATGCCTCCTTTTGCAGAAATACTAAGTGAAGCTCCTCAGGACAGCAACTATAAGGGCTTTGGGGCAAGGAAGGAATACCTAATGTCCTCCCCTACCACACATTGCCTTCCCTTATCTCCTTTTCTCCCCCTTTTGGTTAGTAGCAAATGAGTCTCTTCTCCAAGGCACATGCTCTTGACCATGCAGTCCATTCAGTCACAGGAAAAGCAGCTTTTGGTTCTCTGAACAGCCATACTGGGTCTTATGCTGGTCAAACAGTTTGCACAGGGCATCCATATAGAGTGTGTGGTATTTTTCCACCATTTCCTGGCTTGGTTTTTCTATTTTGGGCAGTGGCAGAGGCTCCCCAACTGCCAAGATAGATGGGAAAAGAGAAGGGGCAAGTGTTAGAATCTTCTCTTTCTTTAACCTCCTTCTCCTTCCCTGGGCAGGATCCTCTCACATGCCAACTTAGCTCCCAGATTCTCCCTCTTTGCTGCCCTTTTCTTTGGTGGGGGGTGGGGTGGGGAGGGCTGAAGGTGAAGTCAAGAAAGAGCTGAGGTGGCCTTGGGGCTGAGAGCAGCACTCACCCACAGTGACGATAGGCAGCGAGTATGGCAGGAGCCCGGTGGAGCCTTGGCAGAAACCTCGTCCATAGAAGACACAAAAATAGAAACCAAAGATACTGCGGAAGCAGCTCTGGAACTTGTGCATCCAGCTGTCCTTATGGAATAGCACCTGATCATATACCTCAGTTTCTCCAAAAGTGAATGTGGGGACCAGATGAGCCCTGAAGGAAAACCTCAATTTATTTCTCAAACACAGGCTAGGGTGAGAACTGCCCAGGAAGAACATTTGCTCCTGGCCAGACTCCCATCTATATAAAATCCCTGTGACATAAAGCATTTCTTCTTGCACTAAACAAGACTCCTATATTTATTTATCTCTTGTCTTGAAATTTTCAAGGCCAGTGAGAATGCTATCTCTGGGCCAGGATCACAAGGGCAAGATATGCGGGTGTAGGGAAGGATGAGGGGTTTGGGCACAGATCCCCAGAAACCCACATCATGTAAAGAAAAGCTTCCAAGAGGTGTCCTGTAGGGAAATATCTGACTCTGTTTCTACTGGTAGGAAGCATAGAGAAGATGATGATGATATTGAACAAATGCATATATATATGATATGCCCCTCACCCACAGGGGACTATTCATAAGGTATTCTGCCCTTGAGATTAGAGCAGAGAAAAGTTGTTTTCCTCTCAAGCCATCCAAATCCACCCTGACAGTGCTCTAGATACAGAATCAGGCTCCTTACGTCTTCCTGTGAGAGAAGGGTAAAGAGAGCACTGTCTGTCTTATACAAATCTTTGTGAGTTATTAGTAACAATCTCTCAGCACTCTGATGTATGTTACCTTACTGGTCCCTCACAGCAGAGAATGTGCAGGGCACAGTAGGGGGCTTATTTTCTTTACCTTACAGATCCAGAAGCCCAGGTTCTGAAGGGGAAAGGGCACTCAGGCAGTGAGTGAGTGTCAGGACTTGGACTAGAACCCAGGATTCTTTCCTTCCAGCTTAGAACTCTCTCCCCTACATTATGCTCCAAATTGATGAACAGGCCACTCAGGCAAGGTCCCTAGAAGAACTACTTCCCTTTTCCCTGAGTCTGCAATAGGGCAATTGTCCTTGTGTCCAGTGGGCTGGCCCCTTGACCTGATGGTACACCCCACAGCTCCAGCTTTGGGCACCTGTTCTTTATCTCCTCTCTTTATCCTTAAGTCAGAGTGGCTAATAATTATCCACCACTTACTGTGTGCCAGACACATGTAGGTGTTTTAAGTGGATGACTCCCCACAATAACCCTATGGAGTAGGTACAATTATTAGTAGCCACATTATGAAAATTAAAACACCAAGATTCAGAATGGTTAGGTAACCTGTCTCAGACTGCACAGTAAGTTTTGGAGCCAGGATTTCAAATCAGGCCCCCTGACTTCAGATATTATGCACGTACTCACCATAGTGCTCTGCCCCCTGCACTTACCAATAACAAACAGATGTAGGTATCGATATTGATAGAGATGATGTGGGCATTAGCTGTATTCTAGGAGAGTCCTAGCCAAGCCCCCTGATAATGAATCTGGGTTTCTGATTTGGTTTCCTGAGAATTGGTCCAGCTAGGTCAGAAGGAGGGGATGATGTAAACCTTTTTAAAATTCTATGCCTGTCTCCCCTATGCACTAGTAAGTTCCATGAGGGCAAGACTCAGATCTGATTCATCTTGGCATCACAGAACAGGTCATGCTGCTCAGAGAAAGCCACCCCCACTGCCCTGGGAGAAACACCTACCCATGCTGGAGGGCTGTGCGCACAAATCCCTTGCGCTTCCGGAGGATGAGGGTGGTGGTGTTGGGCACACTTTGTAGGGCCTCTCCCACCCCTCCTACTACGATGCCCACGAGGTTGCCAGTGCCATGGCTTAGCAGGTAGTCAATGGCTGGCTGACTCACAGAGCATACACCTAAAGAGAATCAAGGAGCAGAGAGAGGAGCAAAATAAGGAGAGGGGAAAATGGCTGAGACGGAACATCCTCTGCTTTACTCCTCATTGTGATTGCCCACTGTTCCTATGAATCCTACGAGGAGAGTCAATGAGATGGGACAAAGGGTGTGGAGAAATGAAGGCTGTGGGAAAACCCAACATGTTTCACTTTGAGGCAATATTTCCACTTCGTAGGAGGCACTGGGTCAAAACTATAGTAGGAAGGTTTCCAGAGGGATAACCAGAAGGACTTTCTGAATCCCAAATGTAATCTTACTCTTTTCTTGTCCTCTATTGCCACTAAATGGCAAAAGTTATTCTTTACTGACCATATACTCTTGTGGCAGGCACTATATTGAAAGCTTTACTTGTATTATCTCATATAGCATCACACCAAATCTGAGGTTGGATTATTATCATCAATGTCACCTTACAGATGAGGAAACGGAGACCAACCAATAGGGGTACAGTAGCTTACCCAAGACCACACAGTTGGTGGCAAAGCCAGGATTCAAACCCAGACAGTTTAGCTCCTGGACATGCTTTTAACTACTATGCTATGATGGGAGTGGGTGAGATGTGGTTGAGAGGTGGGGGTGGGGCTTAAAAAGGTACATCTCTCAGCAGAGAAATGGGCCAGAAGCTCCAGTAAGTATGGTCAGAAGTACCTTTGGCCATGAGGTACTCCCTAACAAATGGGATCTTGAAGAACCAAGACAGTGTGGCTAAGTGGGGAGTGATGCCTGGGAAAATCTTCGAGAAGCCTGTGGCCTCAGTGCAGAAATTGCAGAAGGCTCCAAAGGTCAAAAGGCCATGGGGGTGAACTCCCATGAGGTAGTTGTGCTCAGGTGACAGATCTTTTGTCTTCTGGATCTGCAGCCATGGAAAGAAGTGAAATGAGATCACATGAAGAAGCAAGAGTGAAGACACTTCAGGGATCAGGGCACTCTCTAAATCAGAGCTTTTCAACATATAGGTAGGCCATGAGTGGGTTTCAGGGGCCAAGATATTGGTCTCCTCAGCCCCTGGAAACCAAGCACGATCTATGGCAGCTAGAACTGCTGAGCCTCTTGCCTACAGCTGCAAGTACCTTCGGCCATTTATCTCAGTGCACTTCATGCATGGTATCATTTTGTCTGAGTGCTGCTGTGTGAAAAAGTCAGAAAGCTCTGCTCTAAAAATTGAGGCAGTGTTTGTTGTCTACTCCAAAGAATGCTCAGAGGATCAGCATAGCAGTACATTTCTAGAACCTCTTCCTGATATTTTCTCTTCCCAGCCCCCTTCCAGTTTCTGCCCAAGTAACTTCTATTGAACTTTGAAAACCCTGCTTGAATATCACCATGTCTGTGAAGCTTTTTCTTACCCCTCATCTGAACTACTTGTGTACCTTGTACCAAACCATAAATACATGTCTGTCCTCATTAGATGTGAGCACCTTGATGGCAGATTGTATCCTACTCACTTCTCTGTACTCTAGACATGTGGTACAGAGTAGGCTTTCAATCAATATTTGTAAAACTGAACTGTTTTTGCATTTCTGCCTGTGCTATCTGGTAGGTCATGCCAAGGGTGTCCAAAGTATGCTAGGGGAGTAGCAAGTACCCAGTAGCAATGTTGAGTCCTGAAGAATGTCTAGCCTGCATGGAAATTTCTCTGGTATGCTTATTTTCCTTATGGACAACCCTGGTTATTTGGCATAAATGCCCAGTATTTTGGGAACTGTGGGGATGCTTCAGAAAAGACACTTACCGTAATGGGGAAATAGTCCTTGATATGGGTCCAAGCACACCAGTTCCTTACCCAAGCTGAACGCCTTCCACCTGAGAGAGAAATATCAGTAGGGGATGGTGTCTGTCTTGCTAACCCCATCCCTCCTGCTCACCCAGGGCTTTCCTAACAGCATGGAGAGACCATGGCTCTGCTAGACAGGTGGAAAAGGAAGAGACCCCAAGATGGTCCTGGCTGGCCCAGCTCCTGTGGCTCTGAGAACTTGGATAAGAGGCCTGTGGCATGTTGAGTGGGACTCCCTGGTAACAGGTTAGGGTGGAACATTCACAGGCCCTGTGCTTTCTAGGTCCATGAGTCTTACCTTGCTCTGGGGTCTTCCAGTCCAGGAAAAACCAGACAAAGTAAAGCACTGGTAGTGGCCACAAGGATGTAAATAGCAGGTAAATGAAAAATGGCTGCAAGATCCAAACTGATGAGGAAGCAGGTCAGACCAAATTTGTGCTGCTGGCAGAACGTGACCACATGCATCCCCATTAAGAACCCTCCAAACTACCCAAGCCCCTGGTCCTGGCCTTCTGCACAGTCCAACTCCTGGCCATCCAGTACCCATGTCTACTTGTTCTTCAGACATTTCCTTTATCATGTACCAAACACCAGCCCTATTTGTCTACTTCCCTATCATCCCTGTCCACTTGCTTCCTTGCCCACTTACCATTCCTCTACTCCTGCTCCCTGCCTGCCACCTGCTTCCCCCACCTCCTGAGCCCATTTCATCCACCATCTTTTCCTTCTTGTCTCCTGTCTCCTTTGCTATCCATTATCCCTGAACCCTTGTTAAACCATCATCCTTCCTTGCCCATATACTACCCATATCTCCCCACACCTTGCCCACTCAGCATCTGCATCCCTCTACTGTTCCCCATTCATCATTCCTGTCCTCTTGCCCATTCACCATTCCTTCCATTATCAGCATCTCCCCACACGCTACCACCCCCACTCCCAAGAATGGAAAACTCTATGGTTTAAACACAGGCTATATTCCTCCAAGTCTGTAATTCTAATGCTTTCTCTGTCCCACTACCCATGCTTCCTTATGATCATGGACACATCATATGCCTATTCGTGGGCCTTATTTCCCTTCTCCAGATAGGGTTAAGAAGTGGCTAAAATTAGCTGCGTCTACTCATATCCATCATGATCCTGTTCTACCCCTCTGCCTGTTCTGTCTCCTGTGGCTCTATGTCTTCCTTCTCCAGGGCACTCGTGGAACTCAAGACTCCTTGGCTTTAGTCTGTGGTACCATCTGAGATGATCACAGGTTAGAGGTGAGACTTCCCATGAACATGAAATTCACCCCAGACCTGGCCCTGGCCTCTCACTCTGGCTTCTTGCCGTGAAGTCTTGGATCAGTACTCACACATGGCAAGGTAGCTCAAGGGCCATTGCAGAAGCATCAGACTCTGGAGGTGCTTAGGCTGTTTGAAATAAGGCATGATGCTCAGGAGCCTGAGGAAGACAAAGATCCCAGAACACTCTTCCAGCCAATGGTGCCACCAGCCTCTGGAAGCTTGCTCGATAGGGAATGCATATGACCAGAAGGATTTCTACCTGCCTTCTCCCTTCCTTATCCTGCCCCACACCTACGACCCACTGCAGGGGGCAGGCTTTGGAGTATCAAGGCCTGCCCTATCAGGTTTGAGCCCTGGGCCCTGGCCATTTGCCCTTTGACTCGTTCCTGAGATTATTAAGACATAAGGATGAAGAAAGATAAGAAGGACTGTCATCTAGTCCTAGTGACTCAGAGATCCAGAGAGGGGAAAAACCTTTCACAGTCCACTCGAAGATTATAGAGGTTGTGGTCTCAGAGAGATGGCTGGTGGGAATGGAGCTCTGGGGGGTTGTGGGGTGAGGAGCACCTGGGATTAGGTTTTTGTTGAGATAGACTATTGCCCTGAGGCAGCCTGGCTGGGGATGTCCTCCTTTTTTAACTTTCTATTACAAAAATTTCCAAATATACACAAAACCGGAGAATGCAACAAATTGTTATCTTTGTGTTCATGTTGTTTGATCATCTTCAAGAACTATGAACATTTTGCCATACTTGTTTCATCTATTGCCCCATTCTTTTTTTTGCCTTGGGGTATCTTAAAGCAATTCTAAGATATCATGTCATTTCACCCCTAAATACTTCACTATGCATACAAAAATATGAATGTTTTCTTTCAGAGAGATGCCGCTATCACCTTTAACAAATTTCATAAATCTTGAGTAATACCTAATATCCGGTCCACATTCAAATATCTTTATACAGTTGTTTAATTTGAATCAGAATCCAAACAATATTTACTGATTATATTTGAATGTTATGTCTCTTAAGTCTCTCTCTTTAATTTTTCATTGTAAAATAAAACTTAGATACAGAAAACTACCTAAAAAAAATGTATGGCTTAACAAATTATTATAAGACAAATACCTTGCAGCCACCACTACATCAAAAAACTAAACCCCAGAAGCCTTTCATGTGCCCCATTTCAATCACAACCCTCTTCCTCCTCCCCAAATAACCATTATTCTGGCATTTAGCGTGATCTTTTCTTTGCATTTCTATGGTTTTATTACCCAGACATACTTCCTTAAAGGTTATGGCTTCATCTGGCCTATTAAAAAATTGATATGTTCCTTAAATTTTTCTTTTTTAAAACTTTTTATTTTGGAAAGTTTTAGATTTATGGGAGAGTTGCAAAGATAGTATGGAGAGTCCCCTATACCCTCCACCCAGCTTCTTTTTATGTTAACATCTTATGTAACCATGGTATCGATATCACAGCTAAGAAATCAATACTGGTACATTACTATTAACTCCAGAATGTATTAGAATTGTGCTAATTTTTTCTACTCATGTCCATTTTCTGTTCCAGGATTCCATTAGGTCTCACATTGCATTTAGTGATCATGTCTCCTTAGACTCCTCCAATCTGTGATAGTTTCTTGGTCTTTCTTTTTATGACCTTAGCATTTTTGAAGAGTTTAAGTCTGTTTTCATATACAGTTTCCCCCTCCATCCCTTTCTTTTACTGACATTATTTACCTCCTCAAGAACCCACATATGACCTAGAGAATTTCCCGCAGCCTGGACTTTGTTTCCTGCACGCTCATGGTGTTCCTCTGTATTTCCTGCAGATTGACATCTGGATTCAAGGACTGGATCAGACATCCAGTTTGAGCCCTTTGGCAAGATCTAAATTTGCTTTTAATACAGAACAATCCTCCTTCCACCCTCTTTTTTCCCCATGCCATTGGACTGTTGAAGACTGTTCTTCCTTAAAGTTAGCTAGTCTTCCAAGCCTCAGCACCAGCTCCCCTAAGCAGGGGTGATGGTGTGGAGCCTTGTCCCTAGGTGAGTCCCAAATACAGGCTAAAATGGGAAGGGGGAAGTGAAGCCTTCATTCCTCTCTCTGACTTCTGTCTCTTACCTTTTTGTAACTTCATGCCCAATGAAGCAAATTGAGTTGTAGATTTGTTTTTATTTTTGTCTGTTTGTTTTTCACACCTGAAGTCTCTATGCTTCTAAAAGGGGTAGGGACTATATCTAATTTGTTCTCGCCTCTGCCCCTAAGGCCCTTAGTGTTGAATGAATGATCAGTATCTTATTTGTGATCAGGATCATTTTTTATGGATAATGAAATCACAGAAGTCCTGTGGAGTAGTATAACCTGGAGACTTGAGTGGGGGCCAAGAAGTTGTGCAGAAACAGAAGACAAGGGACACATTACAAAAAGGGAGAGGAAGAATGAGAGAAAGGAAAGACAGTTGCTGACCTTTGCGTCAGTTTGGCAAAAGACGTGGAGGGCCTGCCCCACTCCAAGTCTTCCTGCTAATTGGATAGCAGCCTGGCCCTTGAGCAAATGATAGCATTCAGGTATTACAGCATCTAACCCTACACAGGTGTTGACATCCTTATGATTGAGGGTGAGGACTAGCCTCTGGCAATATAGGGGAGATTAGCATTCTGTCTTTCCATAATAGAATTTTCTGAGCCTACAACCACTCCCTCTCCATATTCTCTCATCTTTCTGAATTGTCTTCTCCTGGATTAACTTTTAATAATTTGTGCATTTCCCCTCCATTTCCTCTCATCGCTTCTGAGAAAAAGGAGGTAAGCTGTCGAGAAGACACTCAGGCTACAGAGCTGATCCATACATATATTTTTCCTTTTAAAAAAAAAATTTTAACGTTTATTTATTATTGAGAAACAGAGCATGAACATGGGAGGGGAGGACAGATAGAGACACATAGAATCTGAAGCAGGCTCTGATCTGTCAGCACAGAGCCCGATGCAGGGCTCAAACTCACAAACTGTGAGATCATGACCTGAGCTGAAGTCAGATGCACCCAGGCGCCCTCATATATTTTTCCTTTTAGCAGCAAATCCCATCCCTTGCTTTAGTGTTTAAAATTTATGGACTTCCACGTGATAATAGTTGTATTTTTTATATTCATTGATTGAGAGATATGTAATAAACTCAAGCACTATGGGTATACATCATGATAGTATACAATATGACATTTGAAAAAAAATATATGCAAACATATTTATTCATTCTATTTTTATAAATGTTTATTTTAATTTATTTTTGAGAGAGAGAGAGAGGCAGAGAGAGGGAGACAGATAATCCCTAGCAGGCTCGTCAATGCAGAGCCTGATGTGGGGCTTGAACTCATGAACTGCAAGATCAAAAACTGAACTGAAAACCAGAGTCAGACACTTAACTGACTGAACCATCCAGATACCCCTTATTTATTCATTCTAGACAATGGTTGGATCATGTGGGAATTTCCAGAACCCTTGTGATAGTTTACTCCCTCCACTCCCCAGAAGTTTGCCACTTACAGGTTGGAAACAGTTGGTATTCTCTTTTTTCAAACTGGAAATTTATTGTTTTTCTTGATTATAAACATAATCCACGTAAATCACAAATGTTTCAGACTAATCAGGAAAGCATAAAGGGAACAAAAGTCACTCACAATCTCATCACCCAGAAATAACCAGTTAATGTTAACATCTTGGTATTTCTGTTTCTTGACTTTTTTTTTTTTTCTGTAGAAATATAGACATAGTATCACTGTAAAATTTGGGCTTTTTTTTTTTTAATTAAAAAAATTTTTTTTTGAGAGAGAGAGAGAGAGCATGAGCAGGGAAGGGGCAGAGAGAGAGGGAGATACAGAATCCGAAGCAGGATCCAGGCTCTGAGCTGTCAGCCCAGAGCCTGACGTGGGGCTCGAACTCATGAGCCATGAGATCATGACCTGAGCTGAAGTCGGATGCTTAACTGACTGAGCCACCCAGGCGCCCCAAATTTGGGCTCTTTTTTTTTCAATATATGAAATTTATTGTCAAATTTGTTTCC